CTACCTGGACGTGAGTGTCCCCCTGTGCCCGGCTGGCTCCTGGCCATGCCCACGGGTGACGCGTCCCGCGCTGTCCCCAGACCCAGTACTTCGGCGAGATCAGCATCGGCACCCCGGCGCAGACCTTCAAGGTGGTCTTTGACACGGGCTCTGCCAACCTGTGGGTGCCGTCCCGCAAGTGCTCGCCCCTGTACAGCGCCTGCGGTGAGTGCCGGGATGCGCCGGGAATGGGGCTGGGGGGAGAAACGCCGCCTGCCCTCATTCCTGAGGGTCCCTTATCTGCTTGGAGAAGCCTGGGGGTGCTCAGCTACCGGGGTCTCTACTCCTGCGGAGCCCCCAGTCCTGGAACACCCGTCCTGTTTGGCTGGGGGAGCAGGGGCATCCTTTGATGCTCGTCCCCTTCTCCCCAGTGTCCCACAGCCGCTACGACTCGTCCAAGTCGCGCACGTACGTAGCCAACGGCACCGGCTTCGCCATCCGCTACGGCACGGGGAGCGTCAAAGGCTTCCTCAGCCAGGACATCGTCATGGTGAGCGCGGCTCCGCTCCCCACTGCAAAAACAGGAGCCACCCAAAACCAGGGGCTCCGCTGGGGATTTGGCCCCCTGAGCACCTTGCAAAGACCCTCATGCCCTTCCCCTCGCCAGGTCTCCGATATCCCCATCGTGCAGGTCTTCGCCGAGGCCACGGCGCTGCCCGCCTTCCCCTTCATCTTCGCCAGGTTCGACGGTGTGCTGGGCATGGGCTACCCCAGCCAGGCCGTCGACGGCATCACACCCGTCTTCGACCGCATCCTCTCGCAGCAGATCCTCAAGGAGGACGTGTTTTCTGTCTACTACAGCCGGTGGGTCCAAGCGCGGGCGCCAGCACCGGCTGCTTCTGCCTAGTTCATTGCCTTTAAATTGTGCAAAGCCTCCAGCTGCTGGAGAATTGCAGCTGGGTGCAAATGCAGTGCTGCAGCTGAGGCAGCAAAATGTGTAAATAAATGAAAAAGCAGCAGCTGGCTGTGCCTAGCCGCAGCTTGAGGCATGGGGTCGGGCCGGTCTCCACTCTAGGCTCACGGTATCTCTCTCTTTGCAGAGCTTCCAAGTAAGAGGACAAGCAGCGCCCCCTTCTCCAGGCACCTTCCCCCCCTCCATGTGCAAATTCCCATCCCCTGCTCTCCACCTCATGCCCTGCTGCTGCTCCTGCTCACTGGTTTGGCAACCCCGGGGGCAACCAGGGCCTGCCTTGCCCGCAGGAACTCCCCTCTGCAACCTGGGGGCGAAATCATCCTGGGAGGCAGCGATCCAGCCTACTACAGCGGGGACTTCCACTACCTGAGCGTCAGCAAAAGCGGCTTCTGGCAGATCCGCATGAAGGGGTGAGACCATCCTGCCCTCCTGGCACGTGAGGACGGGCAGGGAGAAGCCCATGGGCTGCACGGGGATGGGATCCAACCGTGCTGCCGCACACCCCTCTCCGCTCTGCTCCAGCGTGTCCGTAGGGGCTGAAATGCTCTTCTGCAAAGAAGGCTGCTCGGTGGCTATCGACACCGGCGCGTCCTACATCACCGGCCCGGCCGGCCCCGTGTCCGTGCTCATGAAGGCCATCGGGGCGGCCGAAATGGCTGAGGGGGAGGTGAGCGATGCCGCATCCCGCTGCGCGCGCATCCCGCGCCTGCGCCTCAGCCCCATCTCCTTCCTCCCCCAGTTCGTCGTGGACTGCGACAAAGTCCCGCAGCTGCCCAACATCTCCTTCCACCTGGGCGGGAAGGCGTACGGGCTCAGCGGCCCCGCGTACGTCCTCCGGGTAAGCCGGTGTCCCGCCACAGGGGTGTCCAGGGTGTCCTGGGAATCTCCCCGCGGTCACCGCGTGGCTCTCCTGCCCTTTGCAGCAATCCCAGTACGGCGAGGACATCTGCGTGGTGGCTTTCTCAGGCCTGGACATCCCGCCGCCAGCTGGTCCCCTCTGGATCCTAGGAGCCAGCTTCATCGGGCACTACTACACCAAGTTCGACCGGCGCAACAACCGCATCGGCTTGACGGCTCCGCTCCGCACGGGAGCCGCTGCAGAGCCTCCCCTTCTCCCGCTGCTGCTTCCCAGAGCCTCTGCTCCCGGGCCTCAATTGCTTTTCCTATGGAGCCCATCCGGAGCGGGGATCCCAGCAGCATCGCGGCTGCTCCGGGCGGATCAGGGGGATGTGCAATAATCCAGCGTGCGTGTGGCCAAGCCGGCAGTGCCGGGAGGCTGCAGCCGTACCGAGGAGGGACGATTTGTCACAGGCCGTGTTGTTCTTTGAGTGGGAGAAAAAATAACCTGGCTGCATTTGGTGACTGTTTGAGCTGGTGTTAACCCTATCCCCCTCCACAACTTTGCATTAAACAAAACCTCAAAGCACCAGGCTGCTGAATCGATGCTTGTTCTTGCAGAGGAGAGAGAAATGGGGCAGACTTTTAAGAGAAGTGGAAAACAAGTGCTCCTTTATTGGGATTTGCCATAGCGGCTCCTCTGCTTTTATCCTTCCCTGTGCCAGAGCGGGACGCACTCCCTGCTCGTGCCAGTGCATCCGCACAAAAAATGATGGGGGCTGTTCCGATGCTTGCATAAACTTTATTTTCATGAGTGTGTGTTGCACCCCTCTTCCGAAGATGCCATCAGCCCTCAGAGTGCGATGGCAAGTTTGCAAACCCACTGTCTGGTTTATTTTCCTTACCCTGGTGGCTCCAGCCGCTGTTCCCAGCATTGCCTGGAGCACAGGCTGACACCAGCCGCCTCTCAGGTTGCGGTGATTTTTGGGGGGAATGTGAAGCTCCTTTAAGCACTGAAAAGCTGGACCTCCTCTGCCCAATGCCCTGCTGCAAAGGAGAGGACGCAAGCGGATCTGAGCTTGGAAAAGCATGGGGGGTTGGCTCAAGAAAACACACAATGGCTTCTGGCTATCGCTCTTTGCTGGAAAATGGTCGGAATGGCCTAAAATAGGATGTGTCTCGCATCCGGCTCTCTTCCCACTCGGCACACTTGTCCTGAGCAAGAGGAACAAAACCTTCCCGGCTGCTCAGTGCTGTCCCCGGCCCCTGCAGCCGGTCTATTAACACCTTTAATGGCCTTTGCCGGGACAATTTCCCGCTTCCCGCGGCACAGCCCTGGCCCCAAGGCCCCGCTAACCTGCAGCGCCCCGTATTAACACTCACCATGGGTACGGCCGAGCAATTAGGCCACACTCAGCCCTGCAAAGAGGCCGGAGCAATTACGACCATCTTATTAAAAGTGACAGTGTGGTGCTATATATAGAAATACAAGGAACAGACTGTGTTATTTTTTTCCCCTTCCTTAAACGATTCCCCCCAAGTCTCCACGGTCCATTTAGCCGGTTTCAGCTGCAGCCAGCTGTAAACTTTGGAGGGGGCATTCCTTGCTCCGAGCCACGTGCGCTTGTTATTTCCTCTGATAATGAAACGAGGCTGGAGCGGTGTCAGCGTGCTGTGGGCCGGGGGAGAGGGGGGGCAAAGGGCAAGCAATGCCCCATCTTTAATGGGCATTTTAATGCATTGTCTGTGCATTGTCTGTGCTCTTCATCCATATGGTGCTTAATGCATGGAACGGCGCAGGGCCACCTTCTCCAGAGGGGACGTGTCCCTCCTGCAGCCAGGCTCCCAGCGGGATGTGCTGTGACTTGCCTTGCTGCACTGGGCACCTTGTGGGTGTCCCTGCCAGCCCCCCATGGGCCCCTGGCCCGGTACCCCAGCAAGGGGGAGCAAGGAGAGGGTCAGGGGTACCGGGCACTGGGACCGGGCCAGGCGCCCTTCCCAGTTCCCCATGTGGCCGGAGCCGCTGCGGTGCCAGTGCGCGGTTCTGCTCCACCCCCGCTCGGTGCCGGTTCGGTATCCCCTCCCCTCAGCACGATATCCAGTACGCGGTTCCACTCCCCCCTGGGCGGTCCCGGTGCTCGGTCCCGCTCTCCCCAGAGCGGTGCCGCTTCAGCGCCCGCCTCCCCCGCTGCGATGCCCGGT